TGCACTGTCCACGAAGTGACTCTGACATGTGCCGCGTCATTTTGTTTCTGTTATGTCTTCCAGGGAGTGGTCATAGACACACGTCACGACCAGCGTTATGGCTCTCATCAAAACGCTACTTCAGATGCACGAGCAAATGAGCGAATTTTCCATATTGGACAGCAAATGCCAGACACATTGGATCTCGAATACTCCACTCATACATTACACAACATGCTGAATGGCAATGAGAGAGAGACAGGGAGTGAGAGGGGGGATGCTGCACAGTTCGCGAAGTGACTCTGACATGTACCGCTTCATTTTGTTTCATGTTATGTCTTCCAGGGAATGGTCAAAGATACACGGCACGACCAGCATTACGGCTCTAGTCAAAACGCTACTCGATCGATTTTCCGTATGGGACAGCAAATGCCAAGCAGATTGGATCTCGAATACTCCACTCATACATTACAAGACGTGCTGAATGGCAATGACACTCTTACAATATTGAACGCAACTTCCCTTAACTACCCCCAAGCAAACTCTCAATCACACCGTCTTCCCCCACTCAACTGAGACTTACCTCACACACACAGACACACAAGGTGCTCGTTTAGCACGGCTGGCTTTTATCGTTAAACCAAGAAAAATAAGAAACAAACTGTAAAGAGAGACCCTCAAATGCGAAGAATTGCATATTTTCTGACATCTGAAAGAAAATACTTCTTATGCACCAAGCTGCACTCAGGCCAGCACACCCCTCATGCTCTTTGCTTTTGTTTGCAAAATTTCCATGTTTTTTGTGGGCGGAGCTGCAACACGTAAGCTAGTTGACTGACTATTACTTTCACTGTTGCACGTACCTTCAAGCTTAGCCCCTGAATTCAGATCTGAAGGACTGCTGTTCCCACCACTACTCACACGAGGCGTCATCTCAGGCCCTCCAATTCCAAGGAGATTTCCACCACCATTACTCAAACGGGAGAAAAGAGGTCGGTAGGTCCGCCTCACCCCTCTCCGAATCTGTGGAGTATGATGACCATCTGGCCCTGAGGACATTCACCATGAAAATCAATCAGTGACAACGGTCTCAGCCACCACCAAGCAGCTAAACGTTCACCCTTGTTTTTCCATCGTTTCATCCCCCTGATTTTCATCAAGCTTCCCTTCCTGGAACATCAACTAATATGATACTATTTGAGTAATTTTAACTCCCAAAAGATATACAAACTCTAAAGAATCATCATTCACAGGGTGCATGGATGGGATAACGAATTCTTAGTTGTAATTCGCTCAGAATATTTGAATCTATCAAACACACAATAGGTATATGTAATTGACTAGGTTCAAAGTATGGCCATGGAATTCGGATGGTATCATACAATTATTATTGTTATTTATTAATTTTAATAAATTATTATTATCATATTATTATGCAAATAAAACAAAAGATAACTTCGTCAGCAAAACAAACTCCCCATTCAAACTCGAGATACTGTTCGCCACAGCATTTGTGCTCCATCCCTCTGACAGCACCCACCACCATAAGCATCCTCTGAAACACCCCGGAACGAGCTTCTAATCACACAAAACATGGAAAAGCACGTGTTTCCTCGTTATCCACCTCTCTGCAACACCATCATACAGGGGCTGATACACCGCTGGCATTTCATATCTCGCCAGACCTACTACTTATGCCACTCCCACGTCCAAATAGATCAAAACTAGAAAAGCAGGTCTGCAAAGTTCCCTGCTTGGGCACCTGAGCTCCACCCAGTAATCATCCACCTAAACCTCGCAACAATAGAAGTTGTCACCGCCCATGCATTCGCCGTTGCTCTGATTTGATCCACCCATTTTGTCCCTTTTAGGGTAGCATTCTTTCCCAAAGTTGCAAAGAAACGCCAGAGCAGTTATGAAGAACTTCATGCCAGGACCACCTGAGAAAAGAACTTTGTGCAAGAATAACAACATAAAGCCACACCAGTTGCAAAGAAACTTTATGAGAGACAAAAGGCACCACAGCAACTAATTCCCAAAAATAGTAGCCAGAGCAGTTATGAAGAACTTCATGCCAGGACCACCTGAGAAAAGAACTTTGTGCAAGGACAACAACATAAAGCCACACCAGCTGCAAAGAAACTCTATGAGAGACAAAAGGCACCACAGCAACTAATTCCCAAAAATAGTAGCATACCTATAGATGGCGGCTTCACAAATGAACTATCTTGCGAAGTCTCAAGGACAAAAACACCCTTGCTACACTTCATCCATAGCAGGGAAATGGAGCCCCCATATCCATAGACGATAAGCCATTGCAACCCGAATGGCGAATATTTTATGCCCACCCCCACCGTAATCTCCACTCAACTAGGAAAGACCCCTTCCTAAAACAGCAGCTTCACCAAGTCCCAAGCCAAAGGAGGAGGAATTGGGACAAATTGGAACGAGGTTGAACCAGACAGAGGGAAAACATTCAAGACGAATTAACTTTCGAATAAGTCAACTCACCATCGGCCACTGCTAGCACATCGCCTTCATAGATGGAGTCGTTGCGTAGGTTATTCAACCTTTGCAGTTCTCGTATACTCAGCCTGCGAGCAAAAAGAAGGACGATCCACACACAACTCCTATTAATCACCTTCTCAAAGAGGATCGCCTTCACAGATTCTGTAGGTTAGTCAACCTTTGCAGTTCTTGTGTACTTAGCCTGCAAGCGAAAGGCAGGAAGAGATCCCCACATAACTCCTATTAGTCACCTTCTCAAAGAGGCCTGGCAATTCAGATAGGATATATAGAGTTAGTCGAAGAAGTCAATTTTCTCAAAGATGGCCAGTGATTGCGATCGGATATTTTGCCAACATCGACTGCAATAGATCCCAATGCCATGCACAGACGTCACTCACTCAGAAGCATAAAAACCAACTGAATAAAGAAAATGAGAGTGAGGACTAACATTAACAAGCCAAAGCCCGCTGCAGCTTCGCCAGTGGAACACACTCTTCCTCATCCCCGTCCTCCTCGACCACATCCTCCTCCTCCAGCTACTGCTGCTCCGTCACCTCCTCCACTTTCCCCATCTCCTCTGCCCCCTCCTCTCGTTCCCACCCCCCACATCCCCCTCATCCTCAGCCACCTCCTCCTCCTCTCCTGCATTCTCCTCTGCCACCTCCACTTCCTACTCCTCCCAAAATGCCAAAATAAAAACAAAAACGCCTTAATCCAAGAAAAAACAAAGTCAGCCTCCTGATTCGCGACATGTCCAAGCCACAAACAGAGAACACGTGCGGTGAAAGTAAGCCACAACTCGGCTCTCCTCACAGCCAGGTGGTACTATGTGTGGTAGACGGTATCATGTAGCATGGGTTATACTATGTGGATTGGGTGGTACCATGTGGTATGGGTCAGACTGTACTTACCAGATGGTACGAATACACAGCCACACACCAAAAACAGAAACGCACACACACACACACACACACACACACACACACACACACGCACACACACACACACACACACATTGCCACAAAAAAAAGCCACACATGAACGATGGGCACAACTCAGCCCTCCGCACGACTCAGTGGTACTGTGTGCGCTAGGTGGTATTACATGACCTGCTTGGGTTGGATGATACCATGTGGACTGGGTGGTACCTTGTCGGGCGGGTCAGACTTTTTGGACTGGATGGTACTAACCCAGACACGGCCACAGAAAAGACAGAAAACACAGACACAGCCACAGAAAATTAAACACATATATGTCCAGCGGCAGGCACAACTCCGCCCTTGCACAGCCAGCCTGAGCTAGTTGGTACTATGTGGGGTGGGCAGTATTATGTGGCCTGGGTGACACCACGTTGGGTTGGGTGGTACTACATGGGGTGGGTCATACCATGTGGACTTGGCCGTACTACAGGAGCTGGGTGGTATTATGTGGCCAAGTGATATTATGTGGATTGCTTGGTGCTGCACAGGGCAGGTCTGTGGGTTGAGTGTGGCCTGAGCGATACTGTGTGAGTTACATGGAGTGGGTCATGCTATGTGGACTGGGTGGTACTATGTGGGCTCGGTGATATTATGTGACCTGGGTGGTACTATGTGGGTTGCATGGTACGATGCAGGGTGGGTTACACTATGTAGACTGACTAGTACTATATAATCTGGGCGGTACTATTGCAATCAGACTCGTTTTCAAACACACTTTTCACACATGTAAACAGTAACGCAGCATACTGGCGACATGCGCCCACTCAAAACTCAGAG